AAATGTGGGCACCTGTAAACGAAGCAGCATTTCGTGTCTTGCAGGTCGACCTCCACATTGGCACCCTCAGCAAGGCTGTGGGCGCCCAAGGCGGGTTTGTTTGCTGCAGCCACATGACCAAGCAGCTGCTCGTCAGCAAGGCCCGCTCACAGATCTACTCGACTGCTCTCCCACTGCCTGTGGTAGCGGCCGCCCTCGAAGCTGTGAGGGTTTCCTACAGGTGCAGATTTTTGAGAGAGTTTGGCTTTTCAGAGCAGATAATATAATATGGCTGCCTTGCACCTGATGGCAACGATGGGCACTTTTGGCAACCTCACAACAGTGTTCCAGTGGTGACGTAGTCGCTACCTGACGATCATCGTCCCCAAACTAGAGTAGTTTCGTCCATTGAGCCATGCAGAAGTTGGCAGGCTCATGAATCCTCTAAGCACATTGAATGAATCGAATAAGGAAGGCCCAGGCATCTGCGTGACGAAAGAATGGACACCAGCATCAGTGCTTTTGACCGAAGAATCCAGAAGGCGATCTGCGTATCCTACTTTGAGCGGTGCCCTTTGTGAATTGGCTTCTGCTCTAATGCAATGGACAAACTACAGGGAGCGCTCAAGCTTCTCAACCATGTGTAAAGCGTCTGTCCATATTTGTCAGCAGGGACCAAACTGCTGTGTCAAACCGGGCATACGACATCTTTGCAAACTTGCCATGAAACCATCAACGCGTCGTCACAACATGATGCACAATCACCACTTCTTGTGACGTTGGCCCCCATCCACTCTCCTCTCTCATGTTGCAAAACTCATATTGACACAGCAATCGATGAACAAACAAGCAACACCAACCACTTTCCAATACTTTTGCAAAAACACCCACTAGCCTGTTGAACAGTGAAGCGCCAATTCTCTCTCTGCTGCATGATTCCTGTGTGCATTTTGCAACTACAGCATCTTTTCCTGAAATATGGTAAGAGTCTCAAAAGAGAAACTACCGCATGTTATGTGTGTTTCTTTTCACGAGGTTACTGCGTATCTCACAATATGGCGCTTGTGGCTGCATAGTACACAGGGCCAAAGTACAGTCCTGCAGTGAAGTGCTGAGCGCCAGACACTGTTTGACATGTATTGTGCTCAGTCTCGCGACCACATTCCCCACAATGGTGTTCCGCCTTGTGCACGAAGCTTTGCAACGACTTTGGGCGTTTGCGTACCTTGTTCCTCCTGAACGGAGCCCCATTGCTATTCAACCCGAGCCAATTCATCACAGCCTTCTGCTGCCCGCTGACAGGGAGTGGTGGCGGCGGCGGCACCTCTGGCGCCTTGTGGAGCTTGCGGGGTCTGCCCTGGGCGCAGCAGCACAGAGCCCCATCCTGCCGCTGGTGGTGGGCAGCGAGCAGGAGGCGCTGGACTTTAGCCGGCAGCTGCTTGAGGCCGGGCTGCATGTTCCCGCCATAAGGCCGCCAACTGTGCCACAGGGAATGTGTAGGCAAGTCAAATAGCTGGCAGAGCGTGGTGGTGTGTAGCATTAGTTGTACAATAGCTTGTGGTGGGCTTACCATTTGCATCAGTTACTGTGAGCGATCGTTAGATGTGGTGCCAGCTGGCCTTCGATGTTCTGGAGACTCATCCTGAGAAATGCCCGAAAACTGCATTTGAAAGGACTTGATGCACAGGATTCTTTAATGCCAGACGATGCCCCAAGGACCTCAAATATGTCACTGACTATCTCAATTGTCTATAGATATCCAATTTTGATAGTTTTTCAGTGGATCGTCGCCAGCATCGGTCCGCTTATTTTCCATCAGTTGTTAAAGATGAGATGCAGAAGTGTTGCTGTTGGTTTCCTTGGGCACGGTTGTCTCTGCCATAATTTAAAATTAATCAATAATCAATTCAACCGATTATTACTAAATATTTATTAACTAATAATTAATTTGAAACTGCTGGCAGGATCTGGCCACATCAGCTTGATGTCAGGAATGACCCTTGTTCCTCAAGACTTTGCTATGGAAGAAGTGTGAACGCTCCAATTCATGGGCAAGCCAGTCCCCATACAGTACCTGAAATGCGTTCTAACATTTTCGTTTGGTGTGCACGTTGCTATGGAAGAAGTGTGAACGCTCCAATTCATGGGCAAGCCAGTCCCCATACAGTACCTGAAATGCGTTCTAACATTTTCGTTTGGTGTGCACGTTTGCATCCCGTGGAACAAAGGTTGAAGTCTGTTCAACCAGTCTGGAATGCTGTTCTCAGAAGTAAAGCGCGTGCACAGATGTTGTGTACTCTTAATATGATCTTCATGGTAACTTCTGTGTTGTTTTGTTTGCTGTGGTCGCAGGCTTCGACTCACTTTGTCCGCCGCTCACAGCTTCGAGGACGTTGGCAAACTAGTGCAGGCAATACATGTATCCGGCCGGGAATTCAGGGGCATCGACACAGGACTAGGACCCAGGGCGAAGTTGTAACCCTGTGGGGGCCCAACGACACCTATGAATTGAATAATATCATCAGCAGTGAATTGATTTCATTTTGATTTCATCGGCCATTTTGGAGCCTGGCGGGTTTTGCAAGTTTGCTGTGCTGTGGTCCAGCTTCAGACCTTGCGTATATGCAGAGGAACATTTGACTGAACTGAAGTCAGCGTGAGTGTGAGAGGTAAACAGAGTGTCTTGGTATGAGCATCTGGTGAACGAACTTGGATGTGGATGGAAGCGCAGTTCGCACCACTGCAGCCATTGGGGCAAAGCTGCATCAAAGTTGCGGCGAATGCAACTGGCGTTTCACCCGCTTCTGAGGCTAATATGTGAATGGACAAATGTGCACAAATGGTTTTGGTTCTTTTTGGATTTCATTGGAATTTGATGAGTTCCGATGGATAACAACTGAGTGATTGGGTAATGGCTTCTGCACTTGCCGCACAATTCATTAGCACTTTTTCTTGGGATCAGACAGGGAGACAACGGCTATTTTGGGTGGCCTGGCCCCTCACCTTCACGTGTACGGTTGATGATGGAATATGGAGCCAGGGTAAAAAGGTTGGTGATATTGCTCACAGTAGCACGCCAATGGTTCCGGGCAATGGTCACCTTGGCGTTTCAGATGGTAGCGCCGAGTCCGAAACTAGCAGTGTCCTCGTGAATCACTTGTTTCCACAATCCAGCAGGTGTCAGCAGACATGTGCACAGCTCGACGGCTGTCTACAGGCAACTCCGTTTTGCTGGCTTCCAGTTTCAAGTGGACAGCATCCAATATTTCACTTCGCTTCAACTATGAACACTGTTTATTTGGGGGTGCAGTGGAGGCTGCAGGCTTGTGCATGCCCTGGGCGCCAGGACAGCAATACCTCCAACACAGATGTTCGGCAACGTCGTTATCTTCTGATCGCATCAGTTGCAATTGTACTGGATTAAGAATGGAATGGCGCAAGTATCGAGCTCCCCGATGACCAGATTCCAGCACAGCCGCATAACCCCTGTGATGAGTGCATCCCCTTGGGGGACAGAAGCCGCATTACACGAAATCCGTCACATGAGGAATTCAGATCTAGCCGCACGGTCCCTTGACAGTGGTATGGATGCAGCACATTTACGACAATCGCATCGAAATAGTCGTTTCAAAGATTGTCGCCAATGGCACAGAAGCTAGGAGCTCTAGATAAGAATTATGTGATTCTGGATTGTTCGAGATGCTGCATGCTGAAATCCATTTCACTGGATAAACTTTTCACTTGTGATTGGGCTTTCGTGGGGCCTGCTGGGCACGTGACTCACCGCACAGGATGGTGTGGGCTGACACCCAGCGCAGTAGAATAAAAGGGAAGGAAGAACACAGGGAAAAGATTAGAACAACACTAATCCGCTGTCTGATGCTCAAAAACGGTCTGTTGGACGGTGCATTGGAGTAAATGGAAGAGTCCGATAGAGGTTCCTCCAGAAGGGGTTTCCAATGCGTGATGTACAGTAGAATATTTAGTACATTGCGAATTTTGAGCATTCTGCCCCTGTCTCCAAACCATTTCTGTTCCCACGTTGGCCGAACCAACGCATCTGAATGCTTTATTCATCCTGCATCCCCTTCAATTGTCGGCAGGTGTACGAACATCCATCTGGGGGATTTGGCGAGCGGTGCAAGCTGTCTCTAGTTTTTGGTGGTGCTGAATGTCGCTTTGAAAAGCAAGCCTGGCTTTCAGCACCTCTGGACCGTGTTTATTTAGGACAACAAACACCCATTTTTCTGCGCTGCGTTCTCACTCTGTAGCCTTCGCCCCAAGGCCACTGTGCCTTGCGTTTCATGGCTGTGTAGACAGCGTGGATTCTGTGCACATCACATTTGCGGAGCTTGTACTCATATCTCTGTGCAGCGCTTCCTGTGAGGCTTTCCTATGGGATCGGCCACCCACATGGTCGCCTTTCCTCATTGCCGTTGAAATGCGAGGTTGGCCTGAATGTTACAAGGGCAACCTACCAACGCACTTCGTTGGCGCGTGGAAACCAATTGACGGCCACTTTTTCTTTCAGGAATTTTTGTCCTCCGCTAACTTTACCGTACGCCCAAACAGATCCAAGGATCTCGCCGTCTGAAATAGATGGTAAATACATTGCGGTACTGCAAAGTGCGATGGATGGCCACACCATCAGTAGTATCCAGTGTTTATCAAAACAGACAGTAATCACCTCAACACCAGGCTCACCGTGCTTACCGACGTTGGTGGCTCCAATCGTCACAATATATCTCCGCCCTACTGAATATGGTGGTGAAGTGGGATCCACACAGTGAGCCGCCATCAATATCCACAAGTGTTGAAAAAGGTCACCGCTGCAAACATGATCATGGGACCCGGGCGTTTGATGGAAATGACGACTGGAAATCTTCCTTCCTTCAGCTCCTGCTCACCCTGTCACAGTGTGGTACCAGCATTATCTCTTGGTGTTGGTATGAAGGTAGGCATAAGCATGACAACATTGAAGGTTAATTACCCCTCCTTCAAGAGTGACTATTCGAAGGTTGGGACACACTGAATGGCCTGCCACACAGGATCGGTGCCTGGTGGACCGCTGCAAGAAACCCAAACAAGAGAGTCTGTCAGCGCGTTCACAATGCGAAATTATCGCCACTAACGGCAAAGGAACCCACAAAACAAGGCCAGCAAATTCCTTATGGCTTGTTTGCCTTCGCAAAACAAAGCAGTGTCCTTGGGGCCCGAACAAGCGTGCCGGTTTAGGTTTGGCCCTCAGCCCCGGCACAAATGGGCATCACTCGGCCCGGCCAGCGCCCCCCCCCTGAGCCAAACGACCCCATCATCGACCGCGCCCGAAGCGCCCCGCCGAGGGGCCCGAACCACACACAGCACAGCGCCACCGCCCACCTGCGCGACGCGAACACCAGGACAGCTCGGTGTAGCCACTCGGGGATTCCCAACCCAACCACCACCGTCCAGAATCGGCACATCGGGAACGATCAGCAGCACCACGAGGTCGTCCAGCCGCTTGCGGCCCCGCCGAGCGTCGCCCGTGGTTGGCTGGCCGGAGGAGCGCGACACGGGTGCACCGGCCTCGCACGGGCCCCAGCGGAGGCCACCCACGTGCAGGCGATCCGCGGCTTGTGCTATTCGGGTGACGTTGCGAGGAGGGGGGAGGGGGGTAGGAGCAACACCATCAACTTCTCCTCACGGCACGACCGCAAGCACGCGACAAGGAACCCAGCACCGCTGGCCGCAACTTCGATGCAAGCCGGGAGCGCGATGAACGCGGGCGCCGCGGGAAGGGCGCGCGACTCGAGGTAGTCGAAGGAGCACGTCGGGGCCCTCGCATGACCGCAGCAACGGCAGCATGTTGAGGCTGGGCTCGCTGATGACCCAATGATGACTAAATCAGGGGATTGGTCCTTCGAGAAAACCCTCGGCCGCACGCCTCTCCGTCCAAGGACAAGACTGGGCCTGTAATACTGGGCTCTTCGCCAGAATGCTATCCGCGGGATCCCGGAAGCACACTAAAGCGCGCTCTGGCGGAAGATTGCCCCTGTCCCCCCTCCCCCCAAACAGTCACACAACCTTTACTCAGAGGATGAAAGCTAACACGTGGCTTCTCATCCATTGGGTCTGGCCAGTAAAGCCCGCGCAATGTGTGCCCTGCCGGTCATGGCGGCCATTAAGGAATATCATTCTATCCATGTTCATCACCCCGCGTACTGCCCCCTGTGACCCTGGATGGAACACCCCTGTGCGCACACTTAATTGCACCCCCAGCAGGACACACAAGGCCTACGCACCGTCGGTCGGGTGGCCAACTGCCGCCATTCATCGCAACAGCGTCTGCTGTGCGACAACCTAACAGCAGTGGGACTGCCGCCGCAGCCTCTCCTGGCCGCAAACCAGCAGGCCGCCAGGTCCACGCCAGGCGGTCGAGATGAAGAGCCCGGTGCCAGTGGATCGGACCGTGCGTCAGCGCAGGCTTCCACAAAGGATTGTCCGCTTCATGAGGCAATCGGCAGTCCCTAGGTACGCGTGCGCAACAGTCGTTGACACGAGAGGGAATTCCCACGAAACAGTAGAGATTCACGATCAGGCATTGCGCCCATGCCGACTGGTGGTTCTGTCGTCAGTGTCGCCGTGTTCTCAGAAGTCAACCGACCGAGCGTGGTCATTCGATGGAGTAGTGAGCGCCCGGGAGTTGTTCCTGGCTACGCACGGCGTCGCAAGCGGTGTTGCGCGGTGGCTTGGTGGGGCGGGGTTCCGAGCTGGTACCGACCCCTCATTTCCTGTGCCCAGCCGCTGTAACCTTACCCCTGCTTGCCTGTTACGTAAACGCCAATGACATTGAGGAATTTGGAAGATGGATTGTTTCTCGGCAAGCTGTACCAGCCAACGAATCCTGGGCCCGACGATGCGCAACCCAGACATAGCGCCGCTCGAGGCGAGCCAGGGGACCAGCCGCGGCTGGGATACGAACCCTGGACCCCACCGGGTTGGCCTCAGTATGCGACAAACGTATCTGTCGATGATGCGGACTGGCCCGACCCCCTCGCAAGTCCGACATTCCCCCGAGCTGTCAAGCTGCGCTATTCCCACGGGCCCACCTTGCCAAACTGCAACCACCGTCGCAGCTCGGGGCGTCGTGCCCGCCAACGGCGGAAGCACCCCGAGACCTCCTTCGCTCTGAGACAGCCATCTCGGTTGTTACGCAAGGGGACCGGCGCCCACGGCATCAACCACTGGGCTGGTGACTCGAATCCTTCGAGAATGGCAAAATGTTCTGGTCCGGAGGGTATGCTCTAGAGATTTGGGGTTCACTTGACGCCCCGTAACCCCGTCCCCCTTGTCGACAGCCCCCGCCCGCCCCGCCCAGCCCCGGGCTCTTTTCAAGCGCCCCTACGGCCCTCCTTCCCCGCGCTTGCGCATTTCTCAGAGCTGAACGCCAATCAACCGCGATGCATCTCCCCCCCTTTCCCCCTCTCCTGCCGCTTGTCA